ATGGCTACGGCCCGGCGACTCTTCCGCTTCCGCCTCGGCGCCTGGGAGGCGGTTCCCCGCGCGCCTGTCCCTCCTCGCTGCGGACAGACTAGCGGAGGGCGGGGCGCCAGCCCCGGAAGTGGGAGTCCTTCCCCTGCGGCTCGCTGCGGCGGGAACGTGGCCTTGGTTCCACGTCTGTAAAGCCGTGTGAGGGTGAAGTGAACCCGTTACTGGAGGACAGCCTGCCCCCGGAAGGCGTCTTCCGGCCTCCTCGCTCCGCAGGGAAGCCTCCGCGTCCTTGCCGGACAGCTGCTCCCCAGCGGCTGCTTAGGCTCTCGTGGCCGAGCAACGGGCCCTGGGGCCCTCCCCGCGCAGGCCGGCCGGGGTAGACAGAGATGTGGGAGGGTTCGCCTTCAGATCCGCGCAGTCCCGGAGCTGCTGCGGTGCCCGGGTGCGGTTCAGTGCTGGGAGAAGCCTTCCCGTTTAACGGCTGGAATGGTTTGCTGTCACCCTTACCTTTCCATTAGTGTTTTCCGCACGCTCCTGTGAACTAAGGCAACCTGAACACACTCATTAGCTCAGCTCCCTGTAGTATGAAATGGTCAGAAGGGTGGGAAGAGGCATCACAGCGTGTATCATGTAAATGGTAGCGAATTATTACCAGGTAAAGAAGAGTTATACAACCAATAGAGAAAGAACAGTTGCTGCGGACGTTATGGTGGCCTCCCTGACATCTACTCTTTTTCCTATTTGACAGTGTGTAGTTTCCGTGGTGTTTGGCTGGAACTGGTTCAGGGATGATACGTAACTTAAGGTGTACACTAAATGAGGTTTGAGGCTTCTTTTTAATATGTTGGTTTAAGTGATAATGTTTTCTCTTTCTTTGGGTATGATTGAAAAATTGAAGAAACGTGCAGCTCTGATTGCTGTTAGCAGACGTTTGCCACTATGATAGAAGGAAGACTGAGGACAGAATTGGTAAGAGGAAAAAGGCAGAGCCAAAGTAGCCACAGAGGTATGAAGCTACTAGAGTCTTCAATCCATGATCAGTGAGTCAATAAATTCCATTTATTAAGTGAGCTATTTAGCATTGGGCTTTGCTGTTACTAGCAACAGTGTACATATATTTTTGGGAAAAAAAATCTCTACAGTGAGATGGGTTGAAAAAATGTCCATAAGTCTGAGCATTATGCAGTGTTGTAAAATGAGTAAGTTTCCTATGGGACTAGAAAAATAATCTCAGACAACTTTCTAGAAAACTAACTCCTAAGAGCCACCAAAAATTATAATGTTTTTATGGCAGCAAATATTAAAGAAGAGTGGATAAATGGTTTGGCAGATGGTATTTGAAAAATTCAAGACTTGGACCAGCCTTAGAGGAAAAGAGGAATTTCTGCTGCCTTATATCCATGAAGTACGTTGCCTTTTATGTAGCAGGCACTCCATGTATACTTAATTGAATCTTTTAACTAATTAATGTAGAAAAGGATCAAAGTGAGAGAACTTTAGATCACTTGTCAGGTTTTCCAGGTTTTAAGTAATGGTAGAACTGAAACTTCAGAGATATTTGTTCTATTTCTTAATATAAAAGATATTACAGTATTTTTTTCCCTTCCAGTATGGGATCCAGTTTAGGATCAGGTGTTGCATTTACTTGTCAGTCTCTTCAGTCTCCTTTAATCTGGAGCATTTCCACAGCCTTTCTTGGTCTTTTATAAAATTAACATTTTTGGAGACTATAGTCCTCCCCACATTTTATTTTTTTCCCATTAACATATAGTAAAAATAGATTTACATTTGGCATGTAGTTTTTTGAATTTTAATACATGTATAGATTCATATAACCACCAGCACCAGGTTACAAAAAAAGTTCTATTTCCCCAATTCCCTCTATTATGGATTGAATTGTGTCCCTGCAAGTTTAATGTGTTGGAGGTGTGGTGACAGTGACAGTGGTAAGAGGGTGGGAAATCCTATTGTGGTATTTGATAGGGGGGCCTTGCAGAGGTGATTGGATTGTGAGGACTGCACCCTCGTAAATGGATCGATCCATTCTAGGAATAATGGAAGTTGTGCTGGTGGCTTTAAAAAGAGAGTGAGGAGGTTAGTTTCTCTCAGCTCTGCGACTTCGCAGTGTGACACCTTGCGTCACTGAACTTGCCACCAAAGAAAGCTCTCACTAGTTGTGCTCCCTGGACTTTGGACTTCCCCTCCTCTGAAACTGTAGGCAATAAATTTCATTTTTTTTATAAATCACCTAGTTCCAGGTATTTCTGTTATAAGCAGTGGAAATGGACTAATACACCCCCATACTACTCCACGGTGGCTACACTCCCCTTCCATCTCTAATGCCTGGCAACCATGATCTATTCTTCATCACTATAGTTTTGTCCTTTCACAGACATCATATAAATGGAAACATACAGTATGTAACCTTTTGAGACTGGCTTCTTTCACTCAGCGTAATGCCTTTGAGATTCATCCAAGTTGTTGCATTTATCACTAATTTATGCCTTTTTATTGCAAAATAATATTCATTGTATGGATGTATCACAGTTTGTTTATCCATTCACCAATTGCAGGACATTTGAGTTTGTTTCCAGTTTTGGGGTGATTATGAATAGAGCCACTATAAACATTGACATGTAAGTTTTTGTGCAAATGTAAGTTTTTTTTTTCTCTAAGGTGAGTGAGATTACCCAGGAGTGAGATTTGCTGTGTTCTATGGTAAATATATGTTTAACTTTTAAAAAAACTGCCAAACTATTCATACCGATTGTTACCCAGGACATGGCTGAGGGGAGATGGTCTTTTTCTGGGGGATAGCTGCATTTAGTGACCAACTGCCTGAGCAAGGTGCATAGACATGAAATGAGGGAGGCGATCAAAAACCTTTTTGAGTTGATTTTTGTGGAGTCTCTTTCAGCTGAACTCTACCAGATGCCTGCGGATGGTAGGGAGCATGGAAGGTCCATCAAATACCTCGATTATCAACATGTCACTGAGTGGCTTTTGCATAAAAGGTGCACCATGGTCAGGTTGCAGATCATCCAGAAAACCAGACACATGACACATATTAGTTTCAGGCCCAGAAGTGTGACGCTGATTGGACTGAAGAGACAGCACCATAACCCAAAAAAGTGTCAATAGTGATGAGGTATCACTGCTTGGGAGGGGTCAAAGGTTCATTGTAGTCAGTTTGCCAGGAGAGAACCACACCAACTTTGGGCAGGAGCCACACGTCTGATATGCAGTGGCAGCCTTTGCAGAAACAGGGTCATTCACTTTGTGCCTTGTGGGCCCTGGTGGATGTGTTGTTATGATGGATTCTGGCAGCAACAGAGTAGCAACCAGGGCAGTGCAGGCTCAATTAGCTTGATTCTGGGTTGGTCTCATCAGAGAATGGGCCCTTCCTGTGGGCATCTACTGGAAGGTCCCAGAAAGTTTAATCAGCAGTTGCAATTGGTTTCCACAATTCACAGCTCCATAGAAGGGTGTCTTTAATCTGCCAGCCTGTAGTTTTCAAAATGGCAGACCAAATATCAAGGCCATTGACAACAGCACAAGATTCAGTAAACATATAGCAAAGTTCATCAAGGGGCTTATTGGCCAGAGCTCTAACAAAGGCCTTGATTTCTGTCCTTGAGTTTAGGAACTACATCTGTTTTTAGAGCTGGCACTGAGGTTATCAAGCCACTGTAGTCCCGTAGAAGCCATCAAATTTCAGTTTAGCCAACCAGGCTCAGGATTTAGGGGAATCTTTGTGAATTGATGGTTTCATTGAGCCAGTGAAGTGGCTCACGTGGCTGAGTGGAGGGTAAAATTTTTCCTAGAGAAATAGCTACCACTTTTTCATGTAAAGCCCTGATGCCTGTGAGACCAGGCCAGCTGTGTTCTTGAATATACCATTTTCATTTGACAAGCAAGGTTTCATAGGTCTTTGTCACATTATCAGTTATAGAGTCTGAGTTGAGCCCCCCAAAAATGGGAATATCAGGCCAGAGATTTACATGGCCTACATGTGTCAGACATTCAGTTTTGACGAGAGCTCTGCAGCAAGCTAAAAGCTGCATTTCAAAGGGGATGCACCTGGTACCTGTGGAATATACTAAAAAGCATATGTACTTCACAGGGCCTGGTTTTCCAAAGCCTTGCAGTTTCAAATATTGACCTTGCG